GCATTTCAGTTTGATATTCGTCTTGCAGTTTTGAGTTTTTACATGTGTGCCTATATTGTCACCGGCAGTCGCTCAAGTGGAGGAGGGGGGAATTTAAATCCAGTGGATGAAGGTAAAGTTGCAGGTACTTTAAAAAAAGAGGGGGAGAATGTAGAGAAGGAAGGAATGTTAATGTACCTAGAGAAAAGAAAAAGTGCTAGAAGTAGAGATAGTGATCGATATGCTATAACCTCCTCCACCTTTGATCTTCTTTCCCCTAGCTACTTAGCTTTCCACTTCTCTACTTTCTTCAGTCCTGTACTTTCTTCTAACTTTCTTCCCTCTTCTAACTATTCTAACCTTTCCTCTCCAATGTTTCCCCATCTATCATCGCCACCTTCTCTATTTCTTCCACCTTTTCTACCCCTGCTTCCTTTCACCATTTTCAACCTTTTCACCTTCTATATTACCTCAATTATCTTCACTTGTGCCCCTGTTCCCTGTCCACCTTCCTCACCTTCACTCTTCCCTCTGCCACCACTGGCGTTTGCTACCATGCACGTTGACTATATGATAAGATTATACCATGGTTGCAAAATAAACACAAATAAGTAATTGATTTCCGAATTGGCCGATGTTATTGGCACTTATTTAAGTGCGTCCAAACACAAAAACGGATCGAATTTCGCGTTAGCCACACTTATAAGTGTGTCCAGGATGCACATAGCTCCTTTGCCCACACTTATTTTAAGTGTGTCCAAAGCTAAAAAATTTCTTTGCCCAAACTTATTTTAAGTGGTACTTTCTAAAAACCAGAATGGAATCAACTGGCACGGCGAGCGGCACTTATAAGTGTGGGCAAGATGCACATAGCTCCATTGCCCACACTTATTTTAAGTGCATCCCAAGCTAAAAATTCACTGTCACGTAAAGCAAATTTACTAAACGTGGAACGTTCATATGCGCCCAGGGCATCGTCGAATATAGCAAAATTGTTGAATTTTTGCCCTACGGCGAGTACCACTCCAGCTCCACCTCCGTCCGCCATGATTGTGACCAGTTCCCGCCAAATCGTGAACATGGTGAAATCGTTTTCATGGGTGAAAATTCAGCATTATCCGAACGTAATCAAAATAAGTGTGGCCAAGGGAAAAATTCAGCACTGCCCACACTTATAAGTGCGAATAGTCACTTCCTTTCGAATTTTCCAGAAAATTGTATAGCCATATTCATAATATATCCAAAATTAAATGAAAGACCTAATATTCTACAATTCTCCAATGTTTTCCATGCTCGAATTAATATTCAATGGAATCGAACTGTACCTGTAAATACATTAGTGTATACATGGGTTCTCCAAGCTTTTCATTATAGCATGGCGGGTGCTGGCCTTTACGGTCCTAGTTGCAAATCGCGAAGGCGGGTTGCGTGCTAGCGGGGTCCGGCGGGCTATTGATATTTAGCATGGCCGGCTGTGGATCATTTGTAGAGTGGGCCGGCGTGCATTTTAGAGATGGCGAGGGGAGCTCGACGATAGCCTGGCAGGCGGCCAGGCGTATAAAGTGACTTCTTGGAGAACCCTTGCGGGGGTATGTTATATGCAAAACAGGCTAGCGTCAATAGCCCAGATGTATAAATAACTGGCACATTCGGTTTGAAGTGCAAAAAGCTTTTGGATTCAGCTAATCTGGAGATGACTAGAGCGATTTTTTGTTACTGTTTTATAATCTCCATGTTCCTAGCCAATATCGTTCCCATATATATAATCATTTGTCATCTTCTAAAACTACAGGACCATTCCGCTGACCACTGTCGGAGACGTGCGCCGGCCACCGAATTTGCGCCGCACGTCTCCACTGCGGACAGCGCTTCATACTTGAACATCCCCGCGGTCGCGTGCCGATATCCGCGCGAACGGCGCGCTATTGCGCGTCTCATCCCGCGCACTGCCGCAGCGCTTGGGATCACGACCGCCAGGAAGCGTGTTGCCACGCCAATCGTTGTAATCATGTCTCTCTTGGTTGTCGATTTTGGCCCAAGTATACAGGTTTAGTCTAAACGACTCGATGAAGAGGCCTGCCTTGCTTTACACCTGGCCGTTGTAAATATGCAAGCCTCAATATGCTAAACATAATCTACAAGATTACCGCCCATGCACATGGCTTCGCACAGTCTTTGAAAAGTCTTTTGAATTTGCGCGGATTCTTTGAAAAGTACTTTAGATTTTAGTACAATCATTGATTTTTGCTTAAAAAATTCCTTTGAATTCATGAAAAGTCTTTTGAATTTTAGACAAGAATCCATGCCTGCTAATAAAAATAAATATTTTGACAGTCAATAATGTGCAACCTCAATAAAAATTGCGTTAAATGGCCTTAAAAGCTATAACACTGCATAGACAGTTAAACGGGACGATCACAAATTACAGTAAGTCAATAAAAATCAGTCAGTACAATCAGGTATAGTTGTAGAAGTGACATGTTTATGTTTAAAACGTTCGGTATTTAATGTGATCCAGCTTGGTCAAGTTTTAGACGGGTGACATGCCAGTGATTAAGAATTGGGGGCTTATTAATTAATCCAGGTATCAGTGTTTTGTTCTGCTGTGTATGAATATCCAACTGATAAAATGCTCCAGAATGATAAAATATCCTTGAATTTCCGATAAAATATTCCTTTGAGATTTGCCGATAAATTACTCCGTTGAACTTTCCGATAAAACTTCCTCATAGAAACGTTCCTAGGAAAAAGTCTTGAAATTTTTTCGGAGTCCTCCTTGTCACTCGCACATCCGATCTATCCAATTTTG